CAAGACAGAACTGGAAGCTAACGAAAGCACGCTGGAATTCCATTTCCCATGTATTTTGTCAATAAATGCAACGTGAGTGTTATTTTGTTCACACGTTGCTACTAGAAGCTCGTTACATGGCACGTAAACAGCGTCTTGGTAAAGATCACGGCCCGGGCCCGGGAAGGGGGGGGGGGGGGGGGGGGGGCTCTGTCCCCCCGAATTCACAAGGGGGGGCACGAGCCCCATGCCCCCCCGTAGTCTACACCTATGATCTCCTAACAAATTAAATTTGTCACATCATACAACCAGTATTAAAAATAAAGTGCTCACCTTCATGTAAATGGGGCACAGTCTGGCCCAGAGGGCGCGGCAGGTCTCGTGAACAGCCAGCCGAGCTGTTTCCAGCCCGACCCTGTACGCCAAGGCCACGTCCTTCACATCTTGACCGGATGCAAGGTAGCTGAAGTAAAGAACATATTCAATTACCGGATGCCGTTAATGCACATATTTTGTAAGTGTTCTTTGTAATTCATATCATTAATATTCAGAGCAAAAGGCAATGCTACTGCTATAGCATACTTCTGTGGTTAGAAAAAAGCAAATTCATAATCCCGGCATGGGGGGGAAAGTAGTTTTCTACTTGCATTTAGTATGTTTATGCTCCGACGTCGACAAACCTAACATCCGACGACGTGAAACGACGTTCGTCGTCCACTTCGCCACGCCGCGTTGCGAAAGGAATTGTTTACCGTGTTTATAGTCTGGCGTCGTTCAAAGCGCTCCAACGAATTGCTTCACATTGCGCATGCGCGTCTCCATGGCGATTGCGTGGTTTGGTCTCGCTGGTGGCGAATTTCCGCTTCCGTTCGCAAGATACAGCGCTGCCCGGCTGCCCTTCAACGGTGATGATGAGCAGTTAAATGTGTCAAAAGCTGCGATTCGCGGCAGTTGATATCTCTGCACCGTGGTCTGCTTAAAAACGAGGAAATAATGAAGATAACTTGCATAGAAACACATTTATTTCCTAACGAAAGTCATACGTGGTCAGCGAAAGAAGAACAATATTAGCCGGTCATGGTGTCGACCAACATCAACAAAAGAGAAGTAGATGGTGGTTCAGAGCAACCACCTCATGACTAGCCTTTTGCGTCGAAAACTCACGGATATGACGCCAAAATGGGAAGCCGATGTTCGTCGAAAAGCTTCAAGCGCGTCCGCGGTGTCGTTACGCCTACACATTTTAACGGCTCCGAGACAGATGTACGTCGACGCGCCGGCTCACTCCATCGAGCAAATGAAATCAACAGAATGACATAGGCAAACTGTGCACCAACACAAGCATATCTGACTCACCAGCGGCTACACTCCATGACACAAGCACGAACGGCAGGCAGACGAATACACAACTCCGCCTGACCGATGCACGACTGGAGCAACGACGGGAGCACGGCAATCACAGGAGCTGGCGTGAAGGCTTCTGGGTAAAGACCGTCGCCAGCCGACGCCGCAATTCGAGCAGAGCCTACCTTGTCGAAAGCTTCGTCGACGGTTGCCAAGGCGCGCTATGTTACGTTGCATTGCGTTCGACTGTTGTCGAAGTAAAGAAGCTCCTTTCATAGCAACGTGACGCGACGAGGTCGGGCGCACGCGCCCGTCAACGTTACATTGGAGTATAAACAAGAGCTCAAACAACACTGCAGACTTGGTCAAGAGAACAGGCTGTCTGCCTCTGAAGAACCATTGCAATTCACGCCTCAGTAGGAAACTACACATACCTCAGAGTGATGGCAAGTCGCTCTTCTGATGCCAGGGGCTCACGTATGCAGTGCATGCGCTGCAAATCTGCCTGCACCAGCTCATGCAGCATGTCAAAGGTAGCTGGGCTCATCCGATAAAACTTCTTGAAGAACTGGTGGTCTCCTTGTCTCATCAGCTTCATCTGAGCAAGAAGGAAAACCTTGTAATTAGCTTGCCTGGTCAATATACAGCTTGTTTTGGGAAAAAAGAGAACCATGTTTTTCTGACAGTAAATTTAGACTACATCACCGAACAGTGTCTCTGTCCAAATGTGGCGCAAACGTTTTCAACCAGATGCCCGATTTTCATTATTTTTAATTATGGACATGAATGGCGTCTTTTACTGAGAACCTTGTCTATTTTCTCAATGAAGGTTTACAAAAATCGCAAACTTGTTTTAAATCAGAGAACGGAAAGATCTGAAACTTCGGCATCTGGTCCCAACTGTTACAATACCCTACTTCAGTTGGCCAAGATAAGCGCCCTAGCGACACAAAATATTATTTAACTGTACATGCAAAGTACAGGAAAAACAGTTTTTGATTTTTCTTGATTTACTCAGGTGAGCCAATCTTTCCACAATTTTAGTGAAAGCTTCCACCACCTTCAGGAACCTCTGTAGTAAATCCTAGAGCGATACGATTTAAGAATCCAATTTGTGCGGACAGTCTAAAGTGGGATCGAAGCGATCTCCGCCGCCGCCTTTGGCATGAATCGTATCGTTTGGAGTATCGATTTCGGGGGTGTCGGAAGTCTACTAAAAGTCTATATTTATAAGCTGTTCTACTTACGGCAGTGTGGTAGAGCCCTTCCTCCTTCCTCTTGAGAAAAATCGGGCGAACCCAACAGGTCCGCTCGCTCCGGTTCCTCTTTTCTCGCATTAATCGTAGCAACGCTACCTTCTTTCGTAGCAGAAGCACTTGTAGCTCGCGCTCCATCCTTGCGGAGTCCGGTAAAAAAACACAATGCAGAACGGACAGAAAAAGGAAAATACTGGAAATGACTAAAAACAAAAGTACGAGGAACAAAGCTGAGCACCAGGAGACAAGCAGCAGACCGTCAAAACTAGCAGAACGGCGCGCCACTGCGCAGGCGCGTGGTGCATTTAATGATGATGATAAAAAATTCGGCACGTCAATACTGAGAGAGACAAAATATGTTGACACGTAATAGCATTGAAGTATATTTATGCGTTAGATAACAAGTTAATACAAAAGGATAACTGAGTTTAAATCAAGTTTCGGGTTTGATGTACTCTTATTTTTCAAGCTACAGGTTGGCAACACCGCGCTATACGACGAGGAGACGCCGACGGAAAGCGCCGTATGTGGGTCGGCGACCTTCCCCTCTTCCTTCCTACGAAAAAAACGTCCGCTAGACGCCACGATTACGCCCGCTAAAACGCGCGTCAACTCGTTGAGAATACGCCCTATGTGGTTCGGGCTTAAGTCCTTACTGGCATCAGCAGAAACGTTGGCCAATTTTGACCCAAAGAACAGAACTGTATTGGTCACGGACGCATCTCCGTTCGGTCTCGGTGCGGTTTTTGCACAGAGGGAGGTGTCGGGAGAAGAGCGACCTATCGCATTTGCGTCGCGGAGCCTGGTTGCTGTCCAGCGAAACTACAGCCAGCTTGACAAGGAGGCACTTGCTATGATGTTTGGAGTGACGCGTTTCAAGCAGCACCTTTGAGGGCATTCCTTTGAGGCGGCCACCGACCATAAACCACTACTGGGGCTGCTGGCAGCTAAAAAGCCCATTCCCGAATCATGTTCGCCACGTATCTTACGCTGGGCATTGTTCTTGACGGGGTATGATTACGCCTTGAAATACAGGCCTGGCGGACAGATTCCTCATGCAGACGGACGGAGTCGGCTACCCTTACCTACAAGCGAGTTTCAGGTCGAGTGCCCCCCAGGGGTGTTCATGCTCCAAGGATGCTACCCAAGAGTATTGTCAGTCCAAACGATTGCAGCAGCTACGAGCAGAGATCCGTGCTTGTCACAAGTGCGAGCAGCACTGTGGACTGGTCAAAGGCCGCCCTGTGGACATCCGTGGAAGCCATACGAAGCACGGTTTCAAGAGATGAGCGTTCAGAGTGATTGTATTTTACTTGGAAGCCGAGTGGTAGTCTCCATGTCTTTACAGGCAGATGTGCTCTAGCTGCTACATGAAAGTCATCCAGGAGCCTCCAAGATGAAAGCAGTGGCCCGGAGCCATGTATGGTGGCCAGCTCTGGATGAGGACATCACGGCAGCAGTGGAGGCATGCCGTACCTGTCAAGAACATCAGCGAGCGCCAAGATCGGTACCAGTGAGGCCATGAACATTTCCGGAAAGGCCGTGGTCTCGACTGCATGTAGACTTTGCTGGACCCCTCAAAAACACCTACCTGTTCATTGCTGTCGACGCTTATTCCAAATGGATTGAGGTATTTCCAGTAAGCACATGCTCGACGTCTGTAACAGTTGATTGTCTGCAGATGTTCGCTATTCAGGGGCTGCCGGATGTAGTTGTATCAGACAATGGTCCGGCATTCGTGAGCGAAGAAGAACATTCTTACGGAAAAATGGCATAAGACAAGTGCTGGTGCCCCCGTACCATCCCGTGTCCAATGGAGCAGCCGAGCGAGCAGTGCAGACAATTAAGCAGTTGAAGAAGGCCGGATCAGGGGACGTACCTTCATACGCAAATAGCCAGACTGCTGCTGTCACACAGGACGATGCCGCATGAAGTGACGGGCTGTAGTCCTGCTGAGCTTTTGATGGGCCGGAAGCTAAAGACTGCGCTGGGCTTGCTGCGAATCAATCTTCGAGCCACAGTGAACCTAAAACAGCTCCAGCAGGATGTGCGCAAAAATGGATCATACACTAGCAGGGTGTCTACCAACCGGGAAAACCGGGAATTGTCAGGGAATTCCAAACCGTCTGGAAAATTCAGGGAATTGTCAGGGAAACTGCCAGAAATTTGTCTAAGTCAGGGGAAATGACTGATGAAAGCGGCAGAGTGGCTCGTGATTGAGTGCGATAGTACGTTGGAATTGCGTACGGCGTCTGTGGTCGGTTGCGTTACTTTGGAGCGTAGAGAAAATCGGTAGCCACGGCAATGACATCCGTGCGCCGCCCTCGCAACGTTGGCCGTAATAGTTGGCCAGGACAGCGCTAGGCGGCGCAAGCTACCAACCGAAAGAACATTACACAATCGCTGTTTCTCCATGCTCGTATGCACAACTCGCGTACCGGTCTATTCGTGGGTCCTCGTGTTTTGGTTGGTGCTGTCGTCGCGCTCGGCTACGTCAGGCAGGTTTTGCCTCGTTTTCTAATGCGGCGGAATCCTCGATCCTCAGAGTGAGGCTATGCGAGCATCACCATGTCGTTGTCGAAGAAATGCTCTTTTAATCTGGACTGGATCAACCCTGGCATCTGTGAGCACGCAAGTTGGATTAGGCCTGTGCAGAACGATGCAAACAGTGCTTACTGCGTTTTGTGTTCCAAGAAGTTTTCGTTAAGCAATTGGGGAAAACTGCTATTTCGAGCCACATTTCGAGTAAGAAGCATCAGGCTGCTACCAAATTGCTTCAAAGCGGCTCGCAAACAAATGTTTTGTCGTTTTTCACAACGAATGTGGCCTCCTCCCCTTCGACTTCAACGAATGTTTCGTTCCGAATGGGTACCGACGCCACAAGCGCTCCTGTGACACTTCCAGTTGTCGCACCCACCGGGAAGTCCTCGACGGTTGGGACTGGCTTTGTTCTGAAGGATGATGTCACAAAGGCGGAGATTATGTGGTGCTTGAATGTGATTATGACTCAGGGATCCTTTCGTTCTGCGGCAGCGTCTGCCGCGCTTTTTCCTTTGATGTTTCCCGCAAGCGAGATCGCTAGAAAAATGCAATTGGGAAAAGACAAAGTCGGCTATACCGTTTGCCATGGTCTTGCCCCCTACTTCCGAGAGAAGCTACTGTCAATCCTTGCTGGGGTGTCGTACCTGGTGGTTTCATTTGACGAGTCGCTAAACAAAGTCAGTCAGAAGGAGCAACTGGACGTGATGGTTAGGTACTGGGCACCAACTGATGCCACTGTACGAACTCAGTACCTAACCTCGTGCTTTTTGGGACATATCTGCGCAGAAGACCTGGCATCAGCTTTCAGAAAGGCCACTGAAGACGTCAAAAAGGCAAAGATACTGCAAGTGTCAATGGACGGGCTAAATGTAAACATAAAGTTTCTGAGGTCGCTCAAGGAAGAAAGAACTGCGAGACTCTGATCAGGGCTACGAAATCCTGGACATTGGTAGTTGTGGGCTGCATGTTGTCAACGGTGCATTTAAAGCAGGCCATGCCGCGACATGTTGGGATTTGGTGATGTTTCTTCGCAGCAGCTACAACCTCTTCAAGTGTGTGCCTGCACGTCGCGCAGATTATGTTCACTGTACAGGAAGCACTCTCTTTCCTCTGAAGTTTTGCTCAGTGAGGTGACTTGAAAACGGCAAAGTGATTTCAAGGGCTCTTGACATTCTTCCAAACTTGTTCAAGTATGTGGAGAGCTCGAAGAAAACAAAGACACCAACATGCACCAGCTACTACACTGTCGAAAAGGCAATACATGACCAGATGCTGCCCATGAAACTGGCCTTCATGTTGTCCATTGCTGAGGAACTGGAGCCGTTTCTGGCAGGTTCCAAACGGACAAGCCGATGCTTCCTTTCCTTGCAACTGCATTGGATAACATTTTGCGGTCGCTGTTAGGAAGAATCGTCAAAAAGGAAGTTTTGAACGGGGTGGACACATTCTCCAAATTGCTTAAGCTTGACCTGGAGAAGCCCAAGAACATCATCTCTGCACCAGCTTTTGACACTGGGTTTTTTGCCAAGATGGAACTAAGAAAAATATCCAAGCCGTCACAGCTGAGTGTGTTGAACTTTAAGAAAGAGTGCATTTCTTTTCTGAAGAAGTGTTCTCAAAAGGTGGTGGAGCGGTCACCTTTGAGGCACAAGCTGACGAGAGGTGCTACGTGCTTGGATCCAGCCTGTGCATTGCTTGTGGAGGTTGGTGAAAAACGGCTGACTATTGCACTGGAAGTGCTCACAGAACACCAGTGGCTGACTGGTCTTGAAGCAGAGCGAGCTCACCGTTCCTATGTGCAAGTCTGCTCGCTAAGTTATACGCAGGCATGCCTAAAGAACTTTGACAGGAAGCAGCACAGGCTAGACTCACTTTGGTTCGAGCTGTGTTCACCTAATCACACAGAGCTGCTGTCATTTGTCAAGCTCATTCTCTGCCTGTCCCACGGCAATGCTGCTGTGGAAAGGGGCTTTTTCGTCAATAAGGAGTGTCTGGTGGAGAACCTCAGCGAAGAATCGCTGATCGCGCAACGAAGAGTCTATGACGGGGTGTCGGCAGCAGGTGGTGTGACCAAGATTGAGATTACAAGCAGAATGATGCAAATGGTTCGTGGTGCCAACGTCCGGTGGAAGGATGAGCTGCAGAAAAGAAAACAAGAAAGACTGGAAGCGGCAGAGGCGGAGAAAAAGAAAAAGAGAGTGGGCACTCTGATAAACGAACTCAAACTGAAAAAGCAAAAGCTGATCCGCGAAGCGCAGGCTGAGGCTTCCCTACTACAGGATAAGGTCGACTCTTTGAAGCAGTAGAGCGAGATGGCGGTTGTTCCCTAGTTGTGCGATATCAATAAATTGGTTTGTGATGTTAATGGCACCTAAGCAGGGATAGCCACGTGTTTTTGTTTTATTGTATGGGTCAGGGAACTTAATTAAAACTGTCAGGGAAAACCTGGAAAAGTCAGGGAATCTGAAAAAAGCAATTTGGTAGACACCCTGACTAGGGTCACGGATATTAAGCCCGGAATACCAGTCTTTGCTCGGAATTTCCGACCCGCCCCTAGGTGGGTGCCGGCTACTGTAGAGTCTGACCAGGGATTTGCTTCGACGGTGAAACTGCCAGATGGCAGAGTGTGGACAAGGCACCACGATAACATCCGCATAGCACCGAGACCCCAGTCTTACTGGTAGCGCGGAACTCCCATGCACACCAAGTGTCGACCAGCCCCCTGTAGGCACAAACGCAGCTGAAACCACACCCTCGACGACAGAAGTCTCTCCAGATGTGGGCACAAATTCAACTGTGATTTCTGGGGACGATATGCACCAACCTGCCCAGTCCAGTGCAACCACTGGCCTCGCAGACAATCCGGACGCTGCTGACACCACAGCCTCGACTACGGTGATACATCAGCAGACCCTAGTTTGTCGAGGTACACGAGCGCGGAAGCCCGTGGTACGGTTTTCGCCCTAAGCAGTGGATGAACATTTCGCTGTGCATCATTTCTGCATATTTTTTTTTGTTGTGTTCTAACAAACATTTTTCTGTGCATGTTTTCTGCAAAATTTTTTTACTATTATATAATTCACTACTCCTCGTGAGAGAGGAAGAAGTGTTGTGAAGGAAGAAGTAAACGTGCTGCGGCGTGGGCTGCACGCACTTGCACTGGGACTTGCATGGCGTCTAGTTCGATTATGACACCTACGTTTTGCGGTGTGTGTCGCACCGGCGGCATTTACGTTCTTCAACGCACGGGCTCGTCGTAACAATGCCTCCACTGCGTTGCCTTGTCACCGTCGCCACCGGCAGTTCCCAAACGAAAAGGGCGTTGACTCTTCAGAGAAGCTCAATCGAGTGCGTGAAGCAAGCAATCGCGACATGCCCCGTGCTTGGAAACCAGGTCCAACTGTCTCGCAGCAGGTTTCAGGTAAGGGGTCGTTTAAAGCGCGGTATAAGCGAACACGTTTTTGTGTGCGCGTAGGTCGTGCGCTTCCCGGAAATTGCGTATTTCGTGACGTCGCACCGATTCCTTGTGCCTTCCAGGTGCACATAGCTCAAAAGCGCACCGTCCTAACCAACGCGCATGCTTGTGACTCAGAAAGCGCTCCAGAAAAAGGAAAAACATCACGAAATACGCAATTTCCGGGAAGCGCACGACTTTCGCGCACACAAAAATGCATTGGTATGGATCGCGCTTTGTGCGGCATTTTCTGCGCAATGTGCTGTGTAAAAGACGAATATATAGGCTACTGCTGGAGGCTCCACTTAGTTTTGCATGCAAAGTTTGTAAAGCGCAAGTTTCACGACACGAGTACTGGCGCTATACAGTGGGAGCCTTTGCGTATTGCTGTGTTACAGTCATTATATAAGCATTTGATTTTCACAACTCTTGCGTGCTTGGCATTTTCATGTTAACGCCGGGTCAAATATTTTTTCCCAATCAGTTACAACACAACCGTGCTGTTACAGGAAATTGTGACTAGCTATCGTATGAATCGATTGCAGGTACCGGATACAACTTACTTTTGACGAGTGCATGGACCTCGCTCGTAGAGATGAGCTTGCAGACATGGCAAAAGTTATTGTTCATCAAGTTCCAGCCGCGTCGTCAGAAGAACCCTGTTCATCTCGATCTCAGGGGTTTATTTTATAACTGTTTCAGATGACATGTAACGTTTTAAAGTGATTAATTAGCTCTAAATTGCATAGTAAGCACTTAATAAATCTTTAAGAAAAATTAGTGTGGTGCATAACCCAATGAATCAGCAATAGCTTTTCATGGGCTTAGGAGATGCCGTCATATGCCACAGACGAGGTAGTACTAGATACTCCAAACGAAGCACCATCTGATGCTACAGATGATTCTTCTTCATGGAAAGGAGCCTGCTCGAATCTCAGCACCATCGAACTGTAAGTGCATTTCGGTTGCTTGACCGAGCATTAAAAGTTTTTTATTTCTATGTGGAGTCTTCACTATGGGTACATTGGTTTCAGTGTATATTAATGGGAAAAACAGTCAGTTGGCCCACAAAGTAAACTTTTTGAAGTGAATTTGAAGGTTAAATGCGAGGAGATAAAAGAAATAACAGCTATTTGATACTTTATACCCACGTTATGGATTAAAAAAAAAACGGAGAACGGGATTTCCCAAAAAACATGCTTTTCGTGCCATACTCGCCAAAATATGAGGCGCTGGAGAAAACCAGCTCTCTGCATTAAATGCTTATTTTGAACTCCTTTTGTTCATGTTCCACCCATTAAAGACCACTGAAAAAACGCCTAAGCACGGCCCTCATACCGCTCCACCGCTGTCTTCTTCCACAGCGTAAAGTCGTGTCTGCTTCCATCGCTGTCACCATGGCAACAAGTATTGAATGGATGGAAGGACGCACAGTATAAACACGTGAAGCCAGCAAGAGCTGACGCCATTCCCCGAACAGCATCTGCTCAGTCAAAGTTGAATGCAGTATCCCTGTCATCCACGCAAACGACTCTCGGGTAGTTTGCAGCTCTACATGCACATAAACCCACGGGGTTGCAACCCGTCCACCTCACAGGCATGTATATCCAAGAGGCCGCAACTCACCTGCGAAGGCAAGATTCAGGCCTGAGGACAAGCACTGACACGTGCACGTACGTCGGCGGCCAACGAATACGGCGCTAACGGTGCGGTCCCGTGTAGCAGCGTGAGGCGCAAAGCCGAGTATTTCCGGAAGGGATTCGACTATCATGGGTGGATCCTATCTTCATTTCACCACGGGTGCCTTAATACGTGCTTTTACCTAAGGGGAGAGGTCCTGGGCCAACACTAAGCAGTACGCACATTAAGCCACCCTAGGTGAAGCATGAAGCGAAGTATAGGCTGCGTTTTAGTGGTGAAAAACTATCAATAGGACTATCGAAAGTATCGACAGTTGCCAGAAATTTGACAATCGATAGTAAAAAAACTATCAATAGTATTGTTGATAGTCGACTATCAAAAAACTATCGATAGTCGACTATCGATAGTTCTGCGGCAATATTGATAGTTTTGTAAAAACTATCGATAGTATCGACAGTCAATTTATCGATAGTTTTGCATCACTACATTTGTGTCCGTACCTGCCATGTATGGCACATCACCCACAACCCACAGGCTTACGGCACAACCGATTTTCAAACCTCGTCTCTTTGCTGCCAAACATACATTTCCTTCCCCTCTAATTTGAATTGTCCGATCCCCAGATGCACTCTTGCCGGCTCTCATCTTTAGGCCAATTTGCTCTCCCTTCCCTTTTTCTTGCAATCCAATTACCGGTCTTGCCTCTCGCCACCCACTTGTTCTTCCTCATTGCTCTGCTTCTCGGGTCCTGTTACTTGAGAAAGAGTACTCGCTTGAAACGTCTCAGTCTCAAGAAAAAAGAAATAGATATAACAGGCTTTCCATGTG